ACAAAAAATACTTATCACTGGTTATGTTGTGGCTTTAAAAGTGATTTGTTTTGTTCCTTGCTGAAACAAAAGTTTGTGAATTCAGTTAAATAATTGTTCAAATATATCTGTCATCTGTGTATTTTTAGCTTTCTTCCTGTATGGGAAGTTTTTCAAAATTTGAAACATTAGTGCAGTGGTTTATGTTAAAATAAACCTTTGGGTTAAGTTGTCGCAAGCGAGTTTTTCTTGTGAATTTGGTCTTAAATTTTTATTTCAAGTGGCATTAAAAAGTCTTAAATTTAACTTGCCTTATGCTGTAGGAACCCTGATTATCTGCATTAGTAGTTTTCTTCCAGTGTTTTACATTTAGGCGTGAAAATCATTGCTTTCATCTCAGCTCCTTCTTCATTGCTTGTGACCTCGTGTAGCAATAGATGTATATGAACTGCTTTCATCAGATCTCCTTAGGTGTGGATCTCCACAGCCCTCTCCATAAGTCTCCATGGGCCTTATGGCAGCTGCCCTGATCAGTGGTCACCTTATTTGTCCAGGAGTTTGGGTTTATATTAGTCATGTTTCTATTCATCTTTATTTTCTTCAAATTTGGACGTATTGAATTGGAAGAGTTTGATGGAAATGTAAAATCCTATATAACTGATAAAATTCTGCGATTATATTACGGTACATGACTAATCAGCTGTTTCTGCTTGCATGAACCATCACTAATACTAGCTGACATGCTAAAGTAAGTGGACTTGCCCCATTGCAACACATTCATTAAAACCTCTGTCCATCACTGATATGTGGTCTGCACTAGCTTGATGCCTCTACTCCTTGTTTACTGCAGACAAACATAATGTCAACCTATGATGACGTTACAATTTGATGGCCTTGTTAATTCACTCCAATGGATGGAAACAAGTCTAATTTGTTGTTTTTTCTTACTTTTTGTTCACTCAAAATTTGCATCACATTTAGATGGAAGCACGGCAAGTTATTATTTATCATTGTGTTTGAACTTATAGCCTACCGTACTAAATGCACTTGGTCTTCATGATGCTCTTTATTTACTAATGCTATCATGCTAACACACCTCTGTGGCAGCCAAAGCATGTATTGTATATAGAGGTACAGTGCCAAGGTGATAAAGTGATGTTTACAGATGCACAAAATATTTACAGATCTTTATGTCATGTTTTAGTTTTCCTTTAGCCTTACAGTTAAGCTGTACTTTGTGTTCCTTTGTTCTGTTAGAATACATGGTAGCTTATCGTTATTGGTGACAGGCATTAAGATTCTAGGATACTTTAGAATAGGGCTGGGCGATATAGAAAAAAAGCTTATCGATTAAAAAAAATGCATATTGATCGATATCGATAATTATTGAAAAGATTTGAAACCATATTTTATGTGCAGCTCTGCCTGGACTTTTTATGATATTGCTAAATGATTTAATTTTAATAAAAAACACAAACACAGACTTCGAATTAAATCTTTATTTAACCAACTTTTTTAACTATAACAGAATTGTTTTAAAGTAAAATAACTTAAGAGACCTGAGTTATGGTATTAAATACTGACAAAGAATAAACTAAAGTGACCAGAGAAGTGACCAAAATAAATATAACAAATAAATAAATCCCCCCCTACCGCCGCCGCCGCCCCCGTTTCCTGCTTTAACCTGAGTTATTACTTTGAAGTTTCTGGCCCCTCAGCATTTTTATCTCAATTGTTAGAACTACGTGGGAAACTGCCCAGAACTGAATATACACTATATTGCCAAAAGTATTTGCTCACCCATCCAAATTATTGGAATCAGGTGTTCCAATCACTTCCATGGCCACAGGTGTATAAATTCAAGCACCTAGGCATGCAGACTGTTTTTACAAACATTTGTGAAAGAATGGGTCGCTCTCAGGAGCTCAGTGAATTCCAGCGTGGAACTGTGATAGGATGCCACCTGTGCAACAAATCCAGTCGTGAAATTTCCTCGCTCCTAAATATTCCACAGTCAACTGTCAGCTGTATTATAAGAAAATGGAAGTGTTTGGGAACGACAGCAACTCAGCCACGAAGTGGTAGGCCACGTAAACTGACGGAGCGGGGTCAGCGGATGCTGACGCGCATAGTGCGAAGAGGTCGCCAACTTTCTGCAGAGTCAATCACTACAGATCTCCAAACTTCATGTGGCCTTCAGATTAGCTCAAGAACAGTGCGCAGAGAGCTTCATGGAATGGGTTTCCATGGTCGAGCAGCTGCATCCAAGCCATACATCACCAAGTGCAATGCAAAGCGTCGGATGCGGTGGTGTAAAGCACGCCGCCACTGGACTCTAGAGCAGTGGAGACGCGTTCTCTGGAGTGACGAATCGCGCTTCTCCATCTGGCAATCTGATGGACGGGTCTGGGTTTGGCGGTTGCCAGGAGAACGGTACTTGTCTGACTGCATTGTGCCAAGTGTAAAGTTTGTTGGAGGGGGGATTATGGTGTGAGGTTGTTTTTCAGGAGCTGGGCTTGGCCCCTTAGTTCCAGTGAAAGGAACTCTGAATGCTTCAGCATACCAAGACATTTTGGACAATTCCATGCTCCCAACTTTGTGGGAACAGTTTGGAGCTGGCCCCTTCCTCTTCCAACATGACTGTGAACCAGTGCACAAAGCAAGGTCCATAAAGACATGGATGACAGAGTCTGGTGTGGATGAACTTGACTGGCCTGCACAGAGTCCTGACCTCAACCCGATAGAACACCTTTGGGATGAATTAGAGCGGAGACTGAGAGCCAGGCCTTCTCGTCCAACATCAGTGTGCGACCTCACAAATGCGCTTCTGGAAGAATGGTCAAAAATTCCCATAAACACACTCCTAAACCTTGTGGACAGCCTTCCCAGAAGAGTTGAAGCTGTTCTAGCTGCAAAGGGTGGACCGACGTCATATTGAACCCTATGGATTAGGAACGGGATGTCACTTAAGCTCATATGTGAGTCAAGGCAGGTGAGCAAATACTTTTGGCAATATAGTGTATATATATATATATATACATATTCCCGAAGATTCCTCGGAGGAGAGCCGCGTCGGGGCCTACACAGCTCGTACTCCTGCGGGTGTGAGCGGCTGAGATGATAAAAAAAATAAAAAGTTGGTTGTGTTATCAGACTTGGTTTTCACTGGTTCCCGACACATTTTCCAGATGACTGTGGTTTGGTTTTTGTCCGACTTGCCATGACCGAAATACTGCCAAACTGGCGAACTACAAAAACCCTTCTTTGAAACAATTTCCTCCGCCTCTCCTTGCTGCACATCTTCATGTGCTCTGTGTTGTGGTTTGAGAGGGCGGCGCTTTGTGACGGCATGCCTGGGTCCGCGATTGTGAGTGATTGGTTGGGAGGAAGCAGTGACTAGCATAAACCTACATGCTAGGCTACAATGAGAAGGAAGGAAAACTGCGTTTCTTTTTTATCGAACTTTTATCGACCCTCTTTTTTTCTATTGCGCCACACGTCTATCGATCGATATATATCGTTATTGAATTATCGCCCAGTAGGGTTGTCGCGATACTAAACTTTTCAACTCAATACCGATACTAAGGAAAATATTCGATACTCGATACCATTTTCAATACCACAAGGATAAAAACAAAGACTCCAAAATTCTACAGAAATATTTTCATTAATAAATAAATACAATAAAGGTTGTATGCTGTGCACAATAGTAAGCAAGCTTGATATAAAACTTATAAAATTAAAATTAAGTGTTCTTTCCTTGGCTATGCTTTGCACACATAACAATGACGCTAACCAAACCGGTTAAAGGAGAAGTTCGGTTTTTTACACTTTAAGCCCATTTTCTGTAGTGTCCAGGATGAAATCGAATGATCGACACCAAAAGTTTGACAATTGCTCCTGTCTCTGCTTTTTGGCTCATTTAGAATCCCCCCCTGGCTGCTTTAGAATGGCTTCCATTGTGCATGTCCGATAATGTCCTTAAAACAACCTTAAACGTTCTTTTTTTAAAATATGCTACTCACCGTGTCGTCAGCGCTGTTCAATGACGTTCCAAAAAAAGTTTCGTGAAGAAAAAACGTTCCTGTAGTGTTTTATTTAGCATTTTGTAAATCCCATTGAGTTCTGTAGGAATAGTCAATATTCCGCTGCCACCGGAAACGGAAATGGGGCCTGTTTACACAGTTGTAGTCTTTTCGCTTCACTCTGTGTACTCCGACGTCGAGAATCAAGAATCCACCTTTCGTATTCCATTTTCAGAGTTTTTTAAAGTGTTTAACAGAGACGTTAGCACCTCGACGTCGGAGTACACAGAGTGAAGCGAAAAGACTACAACTGTGTAAACAGGCCCCATTTCCGTTTCCGGTGGCAGGGGAATATTGACTATTCCAACAGAACTCAATGGGATTTACAAAATGCTAAATAAAACACTACAGGAACGTTTTTTCTTCACGAAACTTTTTTTGGAACGTCATTGAACAGCGCTGACGACACGGTGAGTAGCATATTTTAAAAAAAGAGCGTTTAAGGTTGTTTTAAGGACATTATCGGACATGCACAATGGAAGCCATTCTAAAGCAGCCAGGGGGTGATTCTAAATGAGCCATAAAGCAGAGACAGGAGCAATTGTCAAACTTTTGGTGTCGATCATTCGATTTCATCCTGGACACTACAGAAAATGGGCTTAAAGTGTAAAAAACCGAACTTCTCCTTTAAGAAACAAAAATCATTCTCAGCGGCTGCACCTGTTACAGAAAAAAAGTCTGAAACTGAAAAGTGCACAGAATTATTCAATCACACAGTGTTCTGAAAGTGCATTTCCCTCTAATCTGCACCTTAGATGAATGACTGCTTAGGTGCCACTGGTGGTAGCACTGTATCAATACTTTTGAAAACGAGTATTGTACCCGGATACAACATTTCAGTATCGATACTTTTGACAACCCTATCGCCCAGCCCTACTTTAGAAAAGGCATAGTATGCTTTCGCTATGAGGACTAATGTCTTATGTTTTTCTTCAGTGACATCGTCGTTCAGATCGTGGATGCCAGGAATCCTCTGCTGTTCAGATGTGCCGACCTGGTAAGGCCTCTTTTAATCCACATCGTGTTAGATCGATATAGAACGGAATCGCACCATTCTGATCACAGGACTGTAATTTTGTTCTACTTTGCCAACAGGAGGCATATGTAAAAGAGGTGTCGCCAGAAAAGGTAAACATGCTGCTGGTGAACAAGGCAGACCTTTTGACCCGGGAGCAGCGGAAGGCCTGGGCAAAGTATTTTGAGAAGGAGGGACTCAGGGCTGTTTTCTGGTCTGCCTTGGCTGAAAGTAACAGGCTGGATGCAGAGGAAAAGGTGAGGGGAAATTACTTAGATAAAGTTGAATACTTTTGGTCTGCTTCGATATGGATGTTGGTTCTATTCCACACATTGATAGGTTTGAGCTGGTTCTGGGGAGGGTAAATCTGTCTTTTTCTTGTTCTCTTTAAACTCAGTAGCTTGACCCTGATTTCTTTCTCTCAGGGCATGGAAGTTGATGATCCAGAAAGTGTAGAGAGTGATTCAGAGGGAGGTGATTCTCCACACAGTGCAGACATGAACAAAAAGGAAGAGCAAGAAGAAGAGCTGGATGACAACGTAACCCTTGATGAAGAGGACTGGCAGACCTGCTCAGAGGACGAGGAGGAAGCTGAAGGAGGATTTTCTGGAGATTCCTTCCACAACTCCAGCCGACTGCAACACAAAGATGAGCTCTTGGAAATATTTAAAGCGGCACACAAAGGTTCCAAGTGTAAAGAAGGACAGCTGACAGTAGGACTGGTGGGTGAAACTCTGAGTTTGGTTTTAGGAAGAGAATATATTTTTCCTTTTGGGTTGATGTGTTTCTTTACTTAGAGTGTAAATTGTGCCTTTAAAATAGTTGGAGCCTTTATTTTATTGCACATGAAAGCATCTGTGAAATAGATTAAATAAGTTAGTGTTTTGTTCAAAAGGTTGGGTACCCTAATGTTGGAAAGAGCTCCACCATCAACACTATTTTGAGGAACAAAAAGGTGTCGGTTTCAGCCACACCAGGACACACTAAGCACTTTCAGGTATGGAATGGGTCTAATCCTTAATCAAACTCTTTCCATATGCATTCTGTCAGAAGCTAAAGTTAGACCATTTCAATCTCTTCTCAGACTCTTTATGTGGAGCCAGGTCTTTGTCTGTGTGACTGCCCCGGCCTGGTGATGCCCTCGTTTGTTTCTACCAAAGCTGAGATGATCTGCTCTGGGATTCTGCCCATTGACCAGATGAGGGATCATGTACCTGCAGCGTCCCTGATATCCTTTCCTGAATGATTTTATGTTGCTGTTGAGTCTAATTGAGCTGTTCCTTTAGACCTTAATGGATTTGTCACATATGTCAGACAATCCCTCGACATGTGTTAGAATGTACCTATGGCATCAACATCATTAGACCACGAGAAGACGAAGACCCCGAAAGGCCCCCCACCTCTGAGGAGCTACTGACCGCATATGGATGTAAGATCATCACATGTTTCATGCTTTTCTGTAGGAAATAAAAAATGATTTTACAGAGTTATTCTTTATTATTTTTGCAGATATGAGAGGTTTTATGACCGCCCACGGCCAGCCGGATCAGCCCAGGTCAGCTCGGTACATCCTCAAGGATTATGTCAATGTGAGTTTTACTGTTTGTTGAATTTTGGGAAGTTCATTTAAATGTACTTACAGGAATCAGATTCTAGGATGATGCATTAAACTGTTAAAAGAAAAATGATAGACCATGCCATGGGTAAGAGTGCACTTCTATCCACTAGAGGCAATAGACCTGTAACTTCCAAGTTTAGCCCCCTAAAGGCTACTGCCAACATTAAATAGTCTCCCTCCATGTTTTGGAATCTGATAACAGGCCAATTTGATTATCAGACTTAAGAGTCATGGAGTTGCTTAGCAACAATACTTGTTTATTTGGGATTTTAGTTATCCATTGGTTAATGAATCTAAAGTTGATTGATCTTTGATTAATGCTTATTTGATAAATGTCCATTTTCTTAAAAGCTGTTTTGTCTTGTATCAAGAGAATCTTTCCTAAACATGAAGTTTTAATAACAGTTTTATTTAACTTTTTACATTCCAACTGCAGCTGTTGCGAGTGATTTAATCGGTTGCTTTATAACTAAACTACAAACACAACAGCCAGAGAAAATAGATGTACGGTAGGTCACCATGATGAAACTTGGCTTTTTAAATGATTTTCACACAGCATCAAAATGTTTGACTGTATCTCATCCACATGCTAATCGTGATTTAAATTTGCTCACCATGCTGATCATTTTATGACTATTTGATTTCAATGTGGACACTTGCCTGTCAAAAGCTTAATGTGATTTCCTTCTTGTATAAAGCTGTTTGATTTGGCAAGAGGAATGAAAAAAAGGTGCTAAACCCGACTGGATGGACCAGCAGTCCTGCTATTTGCTCAGCTGTAGTAGGAGAATAGAGATGCGTTGACAGATGAACTAGTCTACTGTGAACAAGGTTTTGAAGAGGTTTGCTGGTTGAGTCTGTGCATCTTTCCCTATGCTTTTCAGCGAAACCTGGAAACTCAGAATCACCGTGTGCTGCAAAGCAAGGCTAATAAGAGGACAGCAGCAAGCAAAATAACTGATGGCTGCCGACTTTATCATTGCACTCCTTCGAGAGTCTGCATATATATTTTAGTTTTGCTTTTACTTTCAATTTCTTTACTCCTTAAAGTACAACTCACTCTGCGCAAAAAGCAAAAACATAACCCCAACCTCAGACAAAATGTGAAAAAAAGCCATCATAGTTGTTGGTGCCAAGAGACCCAGAGGGACAGGGCAAATGCGGCGTTCCATCAAAGTTCCTGTTTGAAATGTACCATGATCGCCACACCATGAAAGAGATAAAAATATATTTTATAAAAATGTATTTTTGCTACTCTTGTTTGGTTATTCTACATTTTTCCCACTAATTATTTATCCTTTCGAAAATTATGTTACTAAGGGCACACACCCCTATAGCCCATCCAGCTGCTGAAACTAGTTAATTTCCCCCTATGGGCAAGATAAAGTTGATTTTATCTCCATATTTATAACTGTTATAGTTGTTTATGTGCTTAATTATCACAGTGTTTATGTGGTGGTCTTCTCTGCTTATGACACTCTTAGATTTTCTAAAAGTTCTCCTTGCTGATCTTTCTGATATATTTGTCTTACCATAGGGGGGAAAAATGTAAGATTTTTCTTACAATTACGTCATTAAAGCTACTTTTGGTTTTAGTGTTCTCTGTAAATAAAAGCTCTGGCCCTCATGAAGATAAAAGTCTTACTAGGCTGGAATCAAAAGTACTTATTGTTTTTCTAAGTTCCTCTTTTTACCCGCAGATACTTTATATTAAAAATGTATTTTCCTTTTTTTTGTCCTCAATAATTTCTGAAACACCCTGCTGTTCCTGTCTGTTTACTCCCTACAGGGCAAGCTTCTGTACTGCCATCCTCCTCCACACATTAATCCTGAAGACTTTCAGCCTCGGCATGGCAAATTCCAGAAAAGAGACTCTGAAAATGGGGACATCTCCGCAGTAACAAACAGACCACAGAAAATCAAGAGGATTGAAAATGTTGTTGATAAAAACTTCTTCCATCAGGTAAGAATGAATGCTCTGATCATTAGCACCAATAATCTGTTTGAGGAAAAACGTTTTCTACCTTTGATGGGCTCTTCCTGGTAGGATAATGTCCGGGCACTCACAAAAGGAGTCAAAACCATCATGGGCTACAAACCTGGAAGTGGACCAGTTGGACCAGTCAGCTCCCAATCAGAGGCAACGGGAGAAAAGCCCTGGAAAAAACACAGCAACAGAAACAAGAAGGAGAAACTCCGGCGGGTTACAAAGCATCTGGACGCATGATGATTGTCTGGACTTTGCTTTTAACCATCTGATTTCAAATGGAATAAAGTAAAATATAAATAATCTCTTAAGGTCTCTGATGTAGGTGCATAAATGCCTCTCATCTGTGAATATGGATGAGGTCTTGATCTGAGCTGCTTAATATTATATTCAGATAGAAATGGTTGAAATCATTTATGACCTGGACTGTGTTGTTGATTGGAGTTGAAGCACCAAATATTTAGAATATTTTCATGACGCTTGCATATATCCTTTTTTTTTTTTTACATAATTAGGAAAGGTTCCCTTTGACCTGCAGTGTCTTCTCACGACACGACTGAAGTGCACGTCCAGTGTAACACTGTTGTCAGTGACTTCCATAACTATGGTGCAAAAACAGGCAGTGACTGCTAAAGAAAAATGTGTCTGTCAATATTTTGCAGCAGACTGCAACATCAGCCCACCTTTGGAGTGAAGGCTCGATGAGAAAACCATTTTAGCTCAATTCACTGCTTTTTTTTAAAAGATTTATTGGAATCTGATTACGTAAGGTATATATTTTTCAGTGCTGAAATTAAAACAGATGTGACAACATGAATTTATTTTGTTGCTATTTATTGTTTGAAGACCGTGATTTTGCTTTCATTTAAACCAAGCCTTGGTTCCTGGTCCAACAGAACCAAGGCAGCACTGGAGGATTTGATTCCGTTTTGTGTCACACAACAGGATTCAGTTAGTGAAGATACAGAGGGAAAAACATGCAGAAAATTTGATTGATCTCCCTGCAAAGGCAGCGGTTTAATGATAAAATGAAATCACTGCCATTCCAGACTATACTAACAGCATAAAGAAAATGTCAAATAGATTAGGATGCACCTGCTGCTTCCATAAAAGGCAGAGTCAAAAACAATGTTTCTTTGAATAACTTATGTTGAAGAGGTGATCATGTTGGGAAATTGCTGCATCCCTAAATCAATTAGTCCAACCTCTCAAACGTGACCTGAGTAAACTGATGACAGCATGTGACCAAAACACTTAGTTATCCTTGTTCACAAAAGAAAAGAAAAAAAAACCCGGAGTGATGTGTTTTTTTTTTTTTCTTACTCTAGAATGGTGCACCCATCAATCCAGTCCTTTTTCTCTTTTCGACTTGCACCCTCCAATTTTATTTTAAGCTAATAATGCAACTTCTCTCAATACTTAGGGCCGGATTTATCAAGATCCAATTTTGCGTGCAGTAATTTGCGCTCGCAAACTGGAATTTTGCGCGAGGGGCTGAACCATGGTTTGCGGGTGATTTAACAAGAGTGATTGCGTAACTGGTGGAAGGTGCAAAACTGTTGGAGACGCCCTATTTAAATGATGGTTTTGCGCGTTTTGTGGTTTGCGGCAAAGTAGTTTGTAGTCTGTACAAACTAGTGCATTAAGAAATTTAAATCTTACAGTGACCCCCAACAAAAAAAAAATAAGTAAATATATATATATATATATATATATATATATATATATATATATATATATATATATATATATATATATATATATATATATATATATATATAAATTGGCAACCTTTATTCCCTAAGGTAGTATGTGCTGCAGTAAAAACAAAAAAAAAAAAAAACAGGTGTTTTGTATTGGCCTGTGACTGTGGATGAGATCCCCGCAGCATTTGGCACGTTGCTCCACAGGCGCAGGGGGAGAACCCCGACCCCGTCGGACAGCACTTCTGAAAAACGAGATTGGGAGATCCCAGCTCTCGCTGCAACCGTACGCTGGAATGACCCAGATGCAAAAAAGTGCAATGTTGCAAGGAGTTTTGTGATATCTGGTATTGCGTGGGTCCTCCTTGTGGCTGGCTCCAAATCCATTCGGAGTTCCCCCAACAGCTCCAAAATGGCAATGCTGGATAAACGATATGTTTTGATGATCGTTTCCTCGTTCATTCCAAAAATATTCACACGGAGTGAAAAAATTCGTTCTCTGCGTCTCCTTGCTTTATTTCCATGTCTCCTTCTTGCGACAATAACCGCTGCCATGTGTGCGCAATTACGCATACAGACCATTTGCACCTTCTTTTGAAACGTGTTAAATATAGAGTCAGATACCGTTAGCAAAATTGCTTTCAGGTTTGATAAATCACTTTGCGAGTGCTAAATTAATATATTTACATGTTCTCCTCCCACAAGACGCACTTTAGCGTGTAAACGCCCCATATTGCATATTCATTGCAGAAAAAGTACTAAATGGATCAGAGGTGCTATTTAGCACGTTTTAAAGACCAAATCCTTTTAGCACGCTGTTGATAGATCAGTTTGTACATTTTTTAGCGTGCGCAGTGAAATAGCTCACGTTTTAATACACGCAAACCTTTGATAGATCCGGCCCTTAGTCTACTTAGATAATAACCTAGATTTTGACTTCTTGTTTCAGTTGTTCACTTTTGGTCCCATATTTGGGTCACTTCCACACGCAAAAAAAACTACTTTCTAAAAACATTCTATTTGTGATACTTTGGAAAAGATTAAATCCATTTCCAGGAGATGCATACAGTACATGGTCATTAAAGTAATGACATTTCTGTCTATTTTCCCCCCTATCAGTTTGAATCATCCATATTTCTTGGGGATGCATGATCTTATCAGCATGTCAATATTAGCTGTAAAACTTCTGATATAAAAGGTACTTTTTTGTGACAAATGATTGAGGATCATATTTGCATCGCCAGTGGGTCATGCTGCATTAGTCTGCCATTAGAGGGATGTAAACAAGTGAAATTTTTTTTATAAGTTTCAGAAACAGGTAAGTGAACTGCTGTTTGCCATGACTGCACGGTGTCAGTGATGTGGCAAGAACACTGCAAACACCATTAATGATTGCAAGAGCCACTATCTCAACAGTTGGGATTAATTCCTGTTGGCCAGGAAGGAAAACAGGAAAGTGGTTGCTGACAATAAAACCAATTCTCACCAGCGGTCTCTTGTTCAAGCCTTGGAAAAGGGGAAACATAGATTCATGACAACCTGAGTGCAAAATGCATCACTTTTGAAATGGAGTGATCCCAAAAATACAAAAATATGTATTAATTTCCTTTATTATTAAACAAAAAGTAAAGTCATTATATTCATTTTTGAGTAAATTTTGTTTTCAATGACATTTAATTACGTAATTCATTTTAAATGTATGTTTGACTATTTAACGGGACATTTAATTGTGTAACAGTGAATTTTACAACCTAATGATACATATAGTATTTGAGTCATGTATTAAATCAAATAACCATTTACATCTATTTATTCATCTCAGAATATATCTACTATATATCTCAGGGATCACATCGCAATGTTTATTAAAAAAAACAAAAAAACAAAAAAACACTTCTCTTGAACCTACATGTGTCTCATAATCCTTCAGGGGGTTCCAACCCTGATTTCAGGAACATCTGCTCTAGAGAAGGCAACCAGATATTTTCATTTATTGAGAATATTAGATTTCAAACATTTTTGAAATACGGTGGCTCTTACTCCATGGTCCCAGTCTGAGATATTTTCCAGTCTAACCTTATCAGATACATTGAGAAACTAATTTCTAATAGCACTTGGGTGGGTTTTATTACAGATGTTTAGATGTCAGATCTCAGTCTTGTTAGCATATTAACCAATAACAGCACTTTTGATTGAGATACTTTGATCATATAAAGCACAGAATGGAGAAATTAATGTGTTCTGTCGGTATGTTTAGGGGAAAATCACATCACTTATTGGCGAATTGAGTTGTAAAGTATTAACATTTGCCAAAAACTGTATTATATTGTGCATCCCTTATCTCTATCCACTAACTGAAATGTTTTTTCAAAGTTTAAACTGTTTGAAATAAGTTGAAAACTTGTCTTCTCCTTCTGGATTTATATGAGAAAAATAAAAGCTCTGTAAATCCCATTAGGCTTACATTTTATTCCCCCCCTTAGATTTAAATTGAAATTATCAACACCTAAAAAAGTTAAGATTCCTTTTCAGTTTTTATTTCCAAAATCCAGTTGAGCAGATCAATAAATATCAATGCAGCTTTTCCAAACATCTGTTTTATTTAAGATCCTTATTTTATATCCTTTTTTAACCTAAAACCCAAATTATTTCATAAAAACTTTTAGGGTCAGAATTATCAGCCCTCCTGTTTCTAATGGTCAATTGTATATCCCCTTTGCTGAATAACAGCTTCCAATCTTTTTAAGTAGATTCTAACTCTGACACATTTTTGAGGAACCATTTCAATCTCTTCTCAGACTCTTTATGTGGAGCCAGGTCTTTGTCTGTGTGACTGCCCCGGCCTGGTGATGCCCTCGTTTGTTTCTACCAAAGCTGAGATGATCTGCTCTGGGATTCTGCCCATTCACCAGATGAGGGATCATGTACCTGCAGCGTCCCTGATATCCTTTCCTGAATGATTTTATGTTGCTGTTGAGTCTAATTGAGCTGTTCCTTTAGACCTTAATGGATTTGTCACATATGTCAGACAATCCCTCGACATGTTTTAGAATGTACCTATGGCATCAACATCATTAGACCACGAGAAGACGAAGACCCCGAAAGGCCCCCCACCTCTGAGGAGCTACTGACCGCATATGGATGTAAGATCATCACATGTTTCATGCTTTTCTGTAGGAAATAAAAAATGATTTTACAGAGTTATTCTTTATTATTTTTGCAGATATGAGAGGTTTTATGACCGCCCACGGCCAGCCGGATCAGCCCAGGTCAGCTCGGTACATCCTCAAGGATTATGTCAATGTGAGTTTTACTGTTTGTTGAATTTTGGGAAGTTCATTTAAATGTACTTACAGGAATCAGATTCTAGGATGATGCATTCAACTGTTAAAACAAAAATGACAGACCATGCCATGGGTAAGAGTGCACTTCTATCCACTAGAGGCAATAGACCTGTAACTTCCAAGTTTAGCCCCCTAAAGGCTACTGCCAACATTAAATAGTCTCCCTCCATGTTTTGGAATCTGATAACAGGCCAATTTGATTATCAGACTTAAGAGTCATGGAGTTGCTTAGCAACAATACTTGTTTATTTGGGATTTTAGTTATCCATTGGTTAATGAATCTAAAGTTGATTGATCTTTGATTAATGCTTATTTGATAAATGTCCATTTTCTTAAAAGCTGTTTTGTCTTGTATCAAGAGAATCTTTCCTAAACATGAAGTTTTAATAACAGTTTTATTTAACTTTTTACATTCCAACTGCAGCTGTTGCGAGTGATTTAATCGGTTGCTTTATAACTAAACTACAAACACAACAGCCAGAGAAAATAGATGTACGGTAGGTCACCATGATGAAACTTGGCTTTTTAAATGATTTTCACACAGCATCAAAATGTTTGACTGTATCTCATCCACATGCTAATCGTGATTTAAGTTTGCTCACCGTGCTGATCATTTTATGACTATTTGATTTCAATGCGGACACTTGCCTGTCAAAAGCTTAATGTGATTTCCTTCTTGTATAAAGCTGTTTGATTTGGCAAGAGGAATAATAAAAGTTGTGCTAAACCCGACTGGATGGACCAGCAGTCCTGCTATTTGCTCAGCTGTAGTAGGAGAATAGAGATGCGTTGACAGATGAACTAGTCTACTGTGAACAAGGTTTTGAAGAGGTTTGCTGGTTGAGTCTGTGCATCTTTCCCTATGCTTTTCAGCGAAACCTGGAAACTCAGAATCACCGTGTGCTGCAAAGCAAGGCTAATAAGAGGACAGCAGCAAGCAAAAAACTGATGGCTACTGACTTTATGCACAATCTATCATTGCACTCCTTCTAGAGTCTGCATATATGCATATATTTTAGTTTTGCTTTTACTTATCAATTTATTTTTTAATCTTTACTCCTTAAAGTACAACTCACTCTGCGCAAAAAGCAAAAACATAACCCCAACCCCAGACAAAAAGTGGAAAAAAAGCCATCATAGTTGTTGGTGCCAAGAGACCCAGAGGGACAGGGCAAATGCGGCGTTCCATCAAAGTTCCTGTTTGAAATGTACCATGATCGCCACACCATGAAAGAGATAGAAATATATTTTATAAATATGTATTTTTGCTATTCTTTTTTGGTTATTCTACATTTTCCCACTATTTATTTATCCTCTCTAAAATTATGTTACTAAGGGCACACACCCCTTTAACCCATCCGGCAGCTGAAACTATTTAATTTCCCCCTGTGGGGAAGATAAAGTTGATTTTATCTCCATATTTATATATGTTTATATAAATAGTTGGTTATAGTTGTTTATGTGCTTAATTATCACAGTGTTTATGTGGTGGTCTTCTCTGCTTTTGATACTCTTAGATTTTCTAAAAGTTCTCCTTGCTGATCTTTCTGATATATTTGTCTTACCTTAGGGGGGAAAAATGTACGATTTTTCTTACAATTACGTCATTAAAGCTACTTTTGGTTTTAGTGTTCTCTGTAAATAAAAGCACTGGCCCTCATGAAGATAAAAGTCTTACTTGGCGGGAATCAGAACAACTTATTGTTTTTCTAAGTTCCTCTTTTTACCCGCAGGTACTTTATATTAAAAATGTATTTTCCTTTTTTTTGTCCTCAATAATTTCTGAAACACCCTGCTGTTCCTGTCTGTTTACTCCCTACAGGGCAAGCTTCTGTACTGCCATCCTCCTCCACACATTAATCCTGAAGACTTTCAGCCTCGGCATGGCAAATTCCAGAAAAGAGACTCTGAAAATGGGGACATCTCCGCAGTAACAAACAGACCACAGAAAATCAAGAGGATTGAAAATGTTGTTGATAAAAACTTCTTCCATCAGGTAAGAATAAATGCTCTGATCATTAGCACCAATAATCTGTTTGAGGAAAAACGTTTTCTACCTTTGATGGGCTCTTCCTGGTAGGATAATGTCCGGGCACTCACAAAAGGAGTCAAAACCATCATGGGCTACAAACCTGGAAGTGGACCAGTTGGACCAGTCAGCTCCCAATCAGAGGCAACGGGAGAAAAGCCCTGGAAAAAACACAGCAACAGAAACAAGAAGGAGAAACTCCGGCGGGTTACAAAGCATCTGGACGCATGATGATTGTCTGGACTTTGCTTTTAACCATCTGATTTCAAATGGAATAAAGTAAAATATAAATAATCTCTTAAGGTCTCTGATGTAGGTGCATAAATGCCTCTCATCTGTGAATATGGATGAGGTCTTGATCTGAGCTGCTTAATATTATATTCAGATAGAAATGGTTGAAATCATTTATGACCTGGACTGTGTTGTTGATTGGAGTTGAAGCACCAAATATTTAGAATATTTTCATGACGCTTGCATATATCCTTTTTTTTTTTTACATAATTAGGAAAGGTTCCCTTTGACCTGCAGTGTCTTCTCACGACACGACTGAAGTGCACGTCCAGTGTAACACTGTTGTCAGTGACTTCCATAACTATGGTGCAAAAACAGGCAGTGACTGCTAAAGAAAAATGTGTCTGTCAATATTTTGCAGCAGACTGCAACATCAGCCCACCTTTGGAGTGAAGGCTCGATGAGAAAACCATTTTAGCTCAATTCACTGCTTTTTTAAAAAAGATTTATTGGAATCTGATTACGTAAGGTATATATTTTTCAGTGCTGAAATTAAAACAGATGTGACAACATGAATTTATTTTGTTGCTATTTATTGTTTGAAGACCGTGATTTTGCTTTCATTTAAACCAAGCCTTGGTTCCTGGTCCAACAGAACCAAGGCAGCACTGGAGGATTTGATTCCGTTTTGTGTCACACAACAGGATTCAGTTAGTGAAGATACAGAGGGAAAAAAATGCTGAAAATTTGATTGATCTCCCTGCAAAGGCAGCGGTTTAATGATAAAATGAAATCACTGCCATTCCAGACTATACTAACAGCATAAAGAAAATGTCAAATAGATTAGGATGCACCTGCTGCTTCCATAAAAGGCAGAGTCAAAAACAATGTTTCTTTGAATAACTTATGTTGAAGAGGTGATCATGTTGGGAAATTGCTGCATCCCTAAATCAATTAGTCCAACCTCTCAAACGTGACCTGAGTAAACTGATGACAGCATGTGACCAAAACACTTAGTTATCCTTGTTCACAAAAGAAAAGAAAAAAAAAACCCGGAGTGATGTGTTTTTTTTTTTTTCTTACTCTAGAATGGTGCACCCATCAATCCAGTCCTTTTTCTCTTTTCGACTTGCACCCTCCAATTTTATTTTAAGCTAATAATGCAACTTCTCTCAATACTTAGTCTACTTAGATAATAACCTAGATTTTGACTTCTTGTTTCAGTTGTTCACTTTTGGTCCCATATTTGGGTCACTTCCACACGCAAAAAAAACTACTTTCTAAAAGCATTCTATTTGTGATACTTTGGAAAAGATTAAATCCATTTCCAGGAGATGCATACAGTACATGGTCATTAAAGTAATGACATTTCTGTCTATTTTCCCCCCTATCAGTTTGAATCATCCATATTTCTTGGGGATGCATGATCTTATCAGCATGTCAATATTAGCTGTAAAACTTCTGATATAAAAGGTACTTTTTTGTGACAAATGATTGAGGATCATATTTGCATCGCCAGTGGGTCATGCTGCATTAGTCTGCCATTAGAGGGATGTAAACAAGTGAAATTTTTTTTATAAGTTTCAGAAACAGGTAAGTGAACTGCTGTTTGCCATGACTGCACGGTGTCAGTGATGTGGCAAGAACACTGCAAACACCATTAATGATTGCAAGAGCCACTATCTCAACAGTTGGGATTAATTCCTGTTGGCCAGGAAGGAAAACAGGAAAGTGGTTGCTGACAATAAAACCAATTCTCACCAGCGGTCTCTTGTTCAAGCCTTGGAAAAGGGGAAACATAGATTCATGACAACCTGAGTGCAAAATGCATCACTTTTGAAATGGAGTGATCCCAAAAATACAAAAATATGTATTAATTTCCTTTATTATTAAACAAAAAGTAAAGTCATTATATTCATTTTTGAGTAAATTTTGTTTTCAATGACATTTAATTACGTAATTCATTTTAAATGTATGTTTGACTATTTAACGGGACATTTAATTGTGTAACTGTGAATTTTACAACCTAATGATACATATAGTATTTGAGTCATGTATTAAATCAAATAACCATTTACATCTATTTATTCATCTCAGAATATATCTACTATATATCTCAGGGATCACATCGCAATGTTTATTTAAAAAAAACAAAACAAAAAAACACTTCTCTTGAACCTACATGTGTCTCATAATCCTTCAGGGGGTTCCAACCCTGATTTCAGGAACATCTGCTCTAGAGAAGGCAACCAGATATTTTCATATATTGAGAATATTAGATTTCAAACATTTTTGAAATACGGTGGCTCTTACTCCATGGTCCCAGTCTGAGATATTTTCCAGTCTAACCTTATCAGATACATTGAGAAACTAATTTCTAATAGCACTTGGGTGGGTTTTATTACAGATGTTTAGATGTCAGATCTCAGTCTTGTTAGCATATTAACCAATAACAGCACTTTTGATTGAGATACTTTGATCATATAAAGCACAGAATGGAGAAATTAATGTGTTCTGTCGGTATGTTTAGGGGGAAATCACATCACTTATTGGCGAGTTGAGTTGTAAAGTATTAACATTTGCCAAAAACTGTATTATATTGTGCATCCCTTATCTCTATCCACTAACTCAAATGTTTTTTCAAAGTTTAAACTGTTTGAAATAAGTTGAAAACTTGTCTTCTCCTTCTGGATTTATATGAGAAAAATAAAAGCTCTGTAAATCCCATTAGGCTTACATTTTATTCCCCCCCTTAGATTTAGATTGAAATTATCAACACCTAAAAAAGTTAAGATTCCTTTTCAGTTTTTATTTCCAAAATCCAGTTAAGCAGATCAATAAATATCAATGCAGCTTTTCCAAACATCTGTTTTATTTAAGATCCTTATTTTATATCCTTTTTTAACCTAAAACCAAAATTATTTCATAAAAACTTTTAGGGTCAGAATTATCAGCCCTCCTGTTTCTAATGGTCAATTGTATATCCCCTTTGCTGAATAACAGCTTCCAATCTTTTTAAGTAGATTCTAACTCTGACACATTTTAGAGGAATTCGTGCCCATCTTTCCTTAAAAAAACTATTTCAAGCTCTTGCAGATTTGATGGTCTTCTTGGAATTGACCCTGGTCTTTGGTGTACCACTCAGGTTTTCAATGGGACCCAAGTCAGGGCTTTGTGCTCACCATTCAATAACTATACTTCAGTTTTCTGCAGGTGGCTATTCACCAGTGGGGTATTTCATAAATCTCATTCAGAAAAGTTAGACTTGGAAGCCCAGGTCTGACTCAACTTAGACACAATATCTCAATCTGTAATTACTGTTTTCTCCAAAAGGATAACAGTCTCAGCTAGTCACTGTTACATTGCAAATAAGCAGAACAGTAAACATTTGAGGAAGTTATCAGGTCTCAGGAAATCAGTTAAAGGTCTTAGATACCAATAAATGATGGATTTTTCCCCTTTAAATAGTATTTTCAGGGCTTTAAATTCCCAAAGTCTTAATCATATTTTGGGCCGAAAATGTGAACTGTGTAACTTCAAAATATCTGGGAACAAACAACTGAAATTATGACTGACCCTCATTATGAGGGATGGACAGATCAACAAACATTGTGCCTGTTTGTTTGTTTGTTTTTTGTATTGAAAGTCATTTAATAAAGGTTTACAAAATAAAGTACTGTTGTTAAATCTGTCCAAATAGTGGAAAAGCAGCTTCCCAGATTTTGTTAGCTGTTTGAGAAATTGTGTACAGAAAGCTACATCCGTTTACATCCTTTGCATCAAATGAGGACTTAAGTCCCCCCGTCCTTAAACCTTAGTGATGCCTCTGCTCTAATCTAAACCCATTGCCTGTGGTTCTGCTTCTATGTCTAGTGCTGGTGCTCTGTGGCAGCACAAACCCCTGCTACTAATAGTCCCTCTGAATATCTATGACCAAGCTCACTCTCCCTGCAGATGCAAACCAATCAGTGCCTTTCCCTTACAATTAAGCAGTACTTTGTGTTGTTCTGTAAAAAACAAATTTAGAAATCACTCTGATATGAGCCCAGTTCCTTGATTGTGGGACTGTTTGTGAAATCAGGAATGTAAGCATCTCAGCATTCGTCCTTTCATCCACAAGCACCCTGTGTTTCAAAAACTGATTTTCTTCAGGGCAAGCTTCTGCACTGCCATCCTCCTCCACACATGATGACTGTCAGCCTCGACACAGCAAATCTTAGATATGAGAGGTGAAAAGCTGGGACACCTCTGCAGCAACACACAGACCACAGAAAATCATGAGGATTGAACATTTGGTCAATAAAGTTTCCCATCTGGTAAAAAAATAAAAAACATTATTTGCTAGTTCTGTGATAACATCTGATATAAAGCGTTCTGTTTGACTTTTCCTTGTATGATAATATCCAGTTGATAGCGATGTAGAATGTAATTTTCTTTGTATAACCACATAAATGTTCCTATAATTAGTTTTTAAAATATTCCAGTGAAGCATATGCCAGCCTTTATTAAACTGCCTGGGATAAATGCTATACCTTTTAAAGCAAAGTGTGCCATATTTGAGACCTTTGCATCATTAGTGTGATATTTTTGTTCTTGAAAACCCTGAATCACCCAATCAGATCCGTGTACACACTCAAACCTGACAAGTTAACTTAATTAAAATTAATTGGGGAAACTGATTGCACCAATTGATTCAAGTTATGAAACTAGAATTATTTTAGTGTTTTTAATCAATTCATTGGAGTCTAAGAACATAAAGCAATTATTATATGATAACTCTAATGGATGATGTCTATTTACGCATTTTATTTGGTTTGAGTTAACTTAAACCATTTATTTTATACTAAAATTCCTGGATTTATTCTTTTTTTTTAAGTGTGATATGTTCATATTCAAATTGAATTCAATTGCTCTTTTCTAAATAACTTAAAACTGTAGCAAATTTACTCAGTCCAGCTGGGAAACTGATTGCACAAAAAGTTTAAGTCGTGTTAATGCAACAAAAATTTTAAGATTTTTTTCCTTTTTTTTTTTATTAATTTCAACAACAGAAAAAAACTAAATC